CGGAGCTCACACACCCCTCTAGTCTACCAATGATGTGGCCTAGAATCTCTACATCGGACACAACACCCTCGACTAACCCACCCCTCGCGGGTACCTCGCGCCTTAGTTAGTCAGTTTAAAGTACCTCGCGCACTACCTATGGATATTCGGACTGAATCTATACATCGACACTACTATCTTTATTAAGGGAACTCGGGTGTCCTGATCGTTTCCCGAGCATCAATCAAGGCTAGTCTTATGTCACCCTAATTGATCTCGTTGCTAAGTGTAATTTAGCATTGTAGTCTTATTGAAGGTAATTATAGAATTATTGGGAAACCTCAATACCCTCTTAAAATTTCTAGAAAATAATGCTTGAAATTGTGCGTGGTACCAATACTGATCACTCGATATCGGTATTGGTCATTTAGTATTGATACCCCTTGGGTATCGACACCAATCCTTAGTTCGATGTTTTGAATTTATGACAAGTATAAATACTCCCAAGAGTACCAGTACCAAATTTGGCTTCATTGTTTTAAAAATACTCTAGTAACAATACTTACCCTTGGAGGATCGATAATGTACCCTGAGTATAAATACTTCTCTAATGAGTATCGATACTACCTTTGAAATTTAAACAATTTCAGGTTAATTTGAAGAACAATATCGGTACTGTTCTTCCAATACCACTACCCTCGCTCGAGATGACCCTATTTGGGCACTCGATTTCACCTAAATTACTACTTTGAGGTTTTCAGTTGTTATTAATGTCTTATGTGATCAATAAGGGTCATAAACTACATGCTTTAAAACGTATTAAAAACATAAATCATGAAGTCTACCATGGTAATATTCATCAAGCTTTAAACTCAACTTATATGATATCTTGCATTACTAATGACTCACTAAAGAGTATAAAAGAGTGGTAAGTGTGGTTACCTTGAATTTCTTGAGTAATAGCAAAGCCCCAACTAACTCAAGAGGTCTTTCTCTTTTCCTTTAACTTTTGAACTTTCTCACACTTCTTTCAATATTCAAGGGCAAGAAAAAGGAATTTCTAAGTTATCTATATGGTGGGAATAAATATTAGCACAATTCTTACATCTTAAATCTAACAAAATAACCTAGAATTCATAGATTTTATTTAACCTCTCAAAAACTCATTTTGGAAACTATGGCTAAAAACTTACAAAATGGAACTTAAATTGAAACTCGGAGAATGGGAATTACATTCTCATCTTAGATTAACCAAATTAAACTTGCAAAGCTTGAAACTTCACTTAGAAGAGAAAGAGAAAAATAAAAGAAGGGTGTTTGCTGAGATATTTTTTTGTGTGGGGGGTTTTGTTCACCTTAGGGATGGCAATGGGGCGGTTTCGGACTGGGGATTGGTCTCCATGTCCCCGCTTAAAAAATCCCATGGATTTAAACAGGGATCCCCATCGGGTACTCGGGAAAAACCGTAGGGAAACTGATATCCCTGTTTAGAATAAACGATTATTTAAACGGGTAAATTTCACCGTGGGGATAATTAGTAACTATTTTTCCTAAAATGCATTAGTTTGCAAACAAGATTGAAGACCATTTATCAAACTTGAAACACTAATTTCACATTTATCATTCAGGTACATCCCATCCAGAAGTAGAAATATAAAAGCAACTAAAATTACCCACTACCAAATTAACTGACAAACAAAAATAATACTGAGGAATTAAAAAAAACGAATAGATAGCATCACATATAAAAGTGCAGGTTGCATGGACTTGCACGCAGATGGTTGTTGTACTGCAAGCATAAGATGTTGTACTCCATGTATACACATTGAACTGAATGCATAGGAGAGTTGTACCACAGCTATAAGGTGTTGTACTTCAGATTTTCTCAAAATCCATACTGCTGCCCAACAATTTTATATACACAGTAAGAAGATGCTAGTAAACAAAAAGATGCAAGACCATTAAAATTGATTACAGAAGCTACTACCATGAGTAAAAGAACAAGATTGCAACCGTAAAATTGATTACAAACCATTAAAATTGATTTACATAAGCTACTACCATCACATGCTAGTAAACATAAATATGTAAGACAAACCTCAAATACAATCGGATGGAAAGTGACGAGGGAAGGCCAGAACTAGGAAGGGGAAGATCGGCCGTAGAAGTCACTAGGGAAGGTGAAGATCGGCGAAGCAAGACTTGAGAGTAACCGCATGGAAAGTGACGAGTAGGTCAAGATGTGTTCTCCTAAATCCTAATCTCCTTTATATATTTTTTAATTTAAATTAAATTTATTAATATTATATATATATATATATGAAATAATTATTTTTAATATTTATCGGGCCGGGTATTCGGGTAATCAGGGCGGGGATTACTGTCCCCGTTTATCATCCCAAACCTGATCCGTTTAATTCGGTTTTTGATTTTCCCCGACGGATTCAGGTTTTTTTTCATCTCTAGTTCACGTAAACACATATAATAAGGGAGGAGTTTTCAGCTTTTAAACAACAATGGGAAATTTCACCTCAAGTCTCTCTACACTCCATTTCATAAAATATCATCACCATTCATAATTCTCTTAGGCCCAACTCAAACCCAATTTCAACTAAACTTGGTCCAACTATTTTAATAAATCCTTTGGGCTCAGATTGTGTGTCTCGAATTGACCCAAACTACTAACTTAAGATTCGAGGCATTATAAACATACAATGATCTCACTTGTTAGCAGGGATGAATTTAGGCGAGGGCATGTTGGGACGGTTGCCGCCCTAAAAATTTAAAACTATAATACATTTTAAATTTTTATATGTATTTTTTAATTGAAAACCTGAATTCGCCTCCCTAAATTTTTTTATAATTTTAAGTTCGCCTCCCTTAAATTTTATAAGTTCAAATTCACCACCTAACATAAAATTTTGCGTCCAACCCTACTTGTTAGATAATATAAAAAGGGTAAAGTATAGTAATGGTCACTGAACTTTTATAAAGATTTCATTTAGGTCCCCCAACTTTTAAAACTTACAATACAGTCCTCCAACATTTAGTTCGTTTGCAATATGGTCCCCGACGTAACCTGTCGTTTGATGTCGTTACACTTCCGTTAGTACGTTTGCAATATGGTCACTGAACTTTTCAGGCATTTGCAATATGTGAGCGAAAGAGACTGAGAGGTGAATGCCATGTTTGGGATTTCATTATATTTGATCATCTGCTGGAAAATTTTTAACCACAAGGATTAAACGAACAAATTATTATATGCCATTTATAAAAAATAATTCCAGCTTTGTGGGTGACTTTCAATAATGATATTTGGTTCATCTTAGTAATATTTGTTAACTCTGAATTTCTAACTCCATTTTCTTCTCACAAGTATTTCATCGAACATCTATGCTTCACCTGAGATGGCATGTATCTAACATTACACATTGAATCGTTGATGGTCCATATAGTCCCTTGGTCGGGTCTTCTCTCAATGGACCCTTATTCAAGTCAACACCTCCACATAATTCAAAGTTAGATTAGAATTTCCCATGCATCACTGACTGAAAAGTTACGCTAGAAATGAGAATAGAAAAGCGAAAAAAGAAATTCGAGATAAAAATGAATTTGGGGTTTGAACGAAATTGAGGATTATGTTGCAAGTTTTAAAAGTTGGGGGACCTAAATGCAAACGCCTAAAAAGTTCAGTAACCATATTGCAAATGTACTAACGACAGTGTAACGACGTCAAACGACCTGCTACGTCGGGACCATATTGCAAACAGACTAAATATTGGAAGATTATATTGCAAGTTTTAAAAGTTGGGGGACTTAAATGAAAGCTTTAGAAAAGTTAAGTGACCATTACTATACTTTACCCTATAAAAAATTAAATAGAAAAAAAAATTAAATATGAAAGATTAAATTAATGAATTATTTCAAACTAGAATCAATTTGATAAAATTAGTAGTCTCACGTGCCAAAATTATCATTATATCAGACAATGGTAAACATTATTTTTTATTACAAAGACAGAAATATGTTTATAATAAATATTTTAAATTACAACTTCTAAAAATTAAGTGACCTAAGATGTATTTCCCTTTTGATTTTCAAATTGGAGAATTTATATACCAAAAACGATGTAATTTATGTCATTTTAGTTCAAAATTTAATACAATTATTCCTTATTTTCTCTGTGCATCGGCTAAGAAAGATAATTAAAAAGATCCGAGGTAAAAGTGGCTCTTTTGCACCCCCTATACAGGTATGTTCAACAAACATAACCCTGCTTACAAAGTTTAAAGAACCATCCACCACGGAATGTAAATACATTCGTCAAAATTCGAATTACCGAAACAGATGATACTTTACAGGTTGAAATGAACTGTAAATTCAACAGATCAAAGATCAAAATAGACAATGCCTTTCCTGTCGATATGAAACCATAAACTCAATGGAACGGAACTGATGACACTTATCGATTCACATGAACCGTGATAATATGGCTACGGCAATCCATCATACGTCGGGGCAAATAAACAACAATGTAGGGGCCAAGTCGGATTGTATCCGTGTCACTACTTGTCAATGTCATGAATCAGATAATTCACATATTTATCTTGGTTTTTAACGGCGCAAGGCGCACTGAGGCACAAAAGGTCTTTTTTCAAATATTGCTTTCATCTTCTCTGCTATTTCAATACCCCTATATTCCTTTCCTCTCCTTTCCTTTATCAAAATGTCGATTAAAAGAGATAAACCCTGACCAGTAATTAACAGCCACCACTAAAGGATTCAACCAAAGACAGATTTTGAAAGTTAGGGTTTTAACCCCCAGAAGCTCCAAGGCACTACGCTCGGTGCCTAAAGCCCGGAGGCGCGCGCCTCTTGTATCTCGCCTCGCCTCTACCGAGGCGGGTGCCATCTTCAGTGCCTGGCTGCGCCTCGCGCCTAGGCGTGCCTTTTAAAACCAAGATATTTATATATATCAAATTTGCATCGTATAATGTTAGCTAGATAGATAAATGTATGAATGATAGAAATGAACAAACTCTTGCTAATTGCATTAAGTTGTAGAATATAGATAGCATCCACAGATATCCACACGGGCCAATGCACTAACCAGTGGCATTCAGATTATAACTTTAGAAGCACTGATGGAATAATCAAGGATGCTTACCCATGGTGAAAGAAAACAAGCCTAAACAATTAGCTCTCTAAGGTTGGGTCAGATTCAGGTTGCTTCGGAACAACAGCCCCACCGTTCATTCTCGCTCGTGCTTCAGCGAACATCCTCTGCTGCTCAGCTGCCGCTTCTTCTTCAGTCATCTCCGCTCCGTTGCTCCATTTGCCTCCTTTCAAAGAGTCATGCTGCATTTCAAGAATACTTCTTGGTCAATAACAAATAATAACACGATAGGCTCAGAGAAAAAAGAGAGAGGAACGAAAAGGGCAATCTCGGATAGTCGGTTATACAAACTAAAATTCAGTTTCCAAAGATTGAGATTGCAGAATTCCAAATGCAAACAAGGAGCAAGACAAATAATTACCATGGTCTCAATCTTGTGTTGCTCGTATGCAGAATATACCTCCTCAATGTACTCCCCAAACCCAAGAACCTAAAAAATTACATGTATATATAAGTTTCAGTAACAATTACCTTTTTTCAGATCACTGTTGTTAGTAACAGAAACACCAATACAAAACAATTCAACGGACAGTTGCAGAACTTCTGCTTAAAGCTACCTGACTTTGAACAGTAATGAGGAAAAAACATATTTAAGAGTTATGCCTCTATCGTTCAGATGGAGCAAGTATTAGATAAGGCATAGCTTAATATAAACACAAAAATATCCTTCTTGGACCCTTGATTGCAGGAAATTTTTTGGTGTAAGCAATTTAAAACCTTATATGTATCTAGTTAAGATCGAGAGCAGGCTAAAATGGCTATAAGCATAAAGATACTGCTGAACCATACAGTAAAGGTCATATTTAATACATTACTTTCTCCAATCCTGATAATGCAACAAGAAGAAAACAAAATCACACACAAAAAAGAACCAAATTAAAATGTGAAAGTAGGTTTGTGACATGGATACCTCTAAAGCTTTCAGTACATGCTCAGGTGCTATGGTTCGTTTCTCCTCTCTGTTACAAACTTCATTGGACTCTGATGAAATGAGATTAATAAACTCTGAAAAAGGATTACAGTTTTGATCAGTTCCAACAAACAAGAAACTGGTACTACCAATTAGATTATGGTTTGGGACAGTAAAAACCCAAAGATGTAAAAGAATTACAAGGGATATAGATGGCGCATAAACTTGCCAAACATGATTCTAACAAGAAAAATCTTTTTCCCGCCAAAATCTTCAAGGACGCAACAAATCTACAGTGAGTATAACCATATGAGACTAATAAACTGTCAAATTGCATCCACAGAGGTTAGGTCATGTACTTGTGCTTACAAGAGAACGATTCTGACAATCATTCAACTTATCAATTACTAATGTACAGCTGTAAAGGTGCTAGCTACTGAAAAGGTCTAAACTGCCTTGACTAGCCAATAGGACATGAGAAAAAATATTAACCAGGAGAAGACTATTTCCTTTGTTCATCACATGCCTTTAAGAACAAATATTTACTATATAGATTGACACTAACATCCAAAAGAATATCTCTTTAATATCATAAGATGTCAGGCAAACAAACAGTGGAAAAGTGATCCCTAAAACAGTAGTTAACTGAGGAATTTGGCTGTAGAATAGAAACCAAGTAGAACTGGTTACTTTAAATAGATTGAAAAGGAAGAAAGATCAAACTAATTATCTAACCTACACAGCACTCAATCAAAAGATCTTGAGTATCTCTCGCAACACGTACATCTGGTGGTAACATCTCCTTTATAATTTTCGTCATAGTTGCTGAAAAAAAACACATATAATTGGCATCACAAAGCAATAAAACAATCAAAACCAAACCACATAGGTGCAAAGCCCTGAGCAGACACTATATAAGAAAGTATAATTTGCATGTGCACAAAGAAGGATTTCAGCTATTTTAGAGGAAAATTTGACACCCTCGTTCTTTTCATAACATTTAAAAGTAAATTAGAATCAGAATCCTAAATTACGACAAAAGTGAATCACGTAAAGTGTTTAAAAACATTATCGACCTGTTATTAGCTCATAAGCTCCATTTCACCAAGTAAGAAAGATTACCAGGGAAAGCATATACATCAACCCATACAAGGCATAATTATACAAACACTTGCAACCCTTGCCAATTACGAATTCTCTGTGCAGCATAGGAATAAATTGTTTTCTTATACAATATTTACCATCCGTTCTCAAAGACATCACAGTCCTCAAGCAGTGCAATGGAATCCCTCTCATGAAAGCTCTAGACAAGAACATCTCTCTTGGAGTTTGAAAACAAAAAACACGTGTACGTATAAATAATTTATAATATATAATAATAAATGGACGCACATATAAACAACCAACAATATTTTCAAACATCTTTGACAGACAAAGCAAAAGATAGCTCCTCAGGAAAAGCTTGAAACTCTCACATTACAAAAAGAATCAACAAGATAATGTTTGAACACAGATTTATGCTTTATATCATAAGAGATTTTGTCTCATTGTGCTTACCTTAACACCATCAAATTCAAGTTTATGCAAACTTTCACCTTTCGGTAGCTTACTCAGAAATAACCGTAATTAACTTTCAATGGCAACTAATTCACCTATTTACTAATATTCGAAGCATAAGTTGACATAGATAATCCAGAACCCCAAAATCAAGAGACAAAACGGTTGACTCCAATCATTCTCAGCTAAACTATAATGCCGGATAAAAGTACCACTAGCAAATTCGAGTCTTGAGATTAAGAAGTTTTAGAAACCAGAGAAACCAAATAAACGAAAAAATGAGATTTAAAAAAAAAATCATCAAGATACCAAATAATTTCAAATAGATAAGATATACATTACGACGAGAAAGCAGATGAAACGTGAAAATTTTACCTTTGGGAAGCGAAGCGTCTTCCTTCGACTTCCCTACGATATCCATTGGTTCCATCTTTTAATTCTTCAAAACAAAAATTAAAAAAAAATCAAAACCAAACAGAGAATAGACAGATCTAAAACGTGCGTGAGAGGAGACCGAGGGAGAGAATCGGCTCACTGAGTTACCGAGTCAAGACGTCGGGGCGTGATATTCCTGCGGAGATAGAAACGGTGAACGAGTCGAGCGAGTCTTGATCCGAGTCGAGTGGGGATTCAAGGGGAAGGACATGATTGATTTATGGAGTTCTTCAGATAAAGGCAAGGGATGGGGGGCTTCACGATAAAGAGAGGAACCTCTCAATCCCGGTCGATTAGGGCAAAGAGGAATTAACAAATAAATTAGGAAAAGAAAAACGAACATTCAGTCGTTCGCGCGTGAAAGAAACGCGCTAACTCTAGGCTACTCAAAAATATTCGAGGGAGAAGTGGAAGCTGTGCCTAGGTGCGTGTTTGGAACATCCGTTAATAGCGCGTCGAAGTGGTTTCAGCTTTCTCTTTATTTTTTCCCCCTTCCTGTTTGCTTATTTGTATCTTGATCCATGAGTAGATTAAAACTTGTTAACAGAAATTTTGACGAAATCCTAATTATTTAACCTATTTAGATGAACTCGAGCATTAGTCTCAAATAATGATATTATTGAAATTGTTAATTTCTTAATAATATTTAATTTTAATTATTTTATATAATTGGTCGTATCACGATGGATGTATAAAAAATAACAATATTGTTTTTATAACTTACATTTGATTGATTAATTTATAAATTTACCTTTTGTTTTCTTTAAACTTAGTTACCTGAATTTGAATTCCATTATATAAATTATCTTCAATTCTACTAAATGAAAAGAGTATTGGGTTTTTATCTTTTCTTTAACCTAAGATTTTTTTTATAAATATTTTTGAATATGTCTTTTCTTTTCTTTTGATTTTTGTTTAGTCGTTTTTTTTCTTTTTTTCGTATTATGTATTTTTTTTATTTTAGAGTTTTTTCGATTTTAAACAGGAATCTTTATCATTATGACATGTTTTTCTTTATTTTTGACACTTTTTCTGCTCTTATGATACATTCCGTATGACTTTTGGTAAATTTTATGTATACGTTTATGGTCGTGTTGGTGTTTTCTGATTGTTTTGTCGATTGTCACATATTGTGAGATCATCAGAATTGTGTAACGAAACAGTCTGTCAAATCGTTTGGTTCGCTCATCACTTTGTAAAACGTTTCATTTGACAGAGACAATGAGTTTTATGAATGTTATTGAGTTCTTTTGTTGTTGAACATCGTTCACAATGAAATGTTCATTTTTTTATCTTTAAGTCTAATGTTTTTATTTTATGTATGAGTCTTTTGATAACTATCGTCTTCATTTTTTTAATATGTTATAATTTAGATTCATTTCATTACTTTTTATTAATAAAATTTACTTATAATTGTTAAAATAAATAAATATAGTATTCATCAAATTGTTTACATATTATTTGTTTATTAAGTTGGAACAATAATTTTATATTCGGACAAACTAGAATGAAACTGTATCGGATTCATTTTTATTCACGATTAACTCATTTGTTAATTTGTTTGACAGTGTTGTTTTATAATAGGCATAACGGAAAAATTTAGCTTTAACATTTGAAAGATAGTTACTTTGATTTTTTTTTTGTTGAAGTAATTTAACTCCTAATGTTTATTTTTAAGAGAAAATGTCACTTGATTGGGTGAAAATAATTAGTTAATTAACGGTTAAAGCATGTTGTTGATGTGGGAATGCCATGTGTTCAAAGTAAGGATGACAGACGAGTACAATTTCATGGATTTTTTAAAGCATTCGCTCCAATTGAGGCGGCGATGGATATAAGTTTAGTGGGCGGTGTGGATGTTAAAACTCATATCCGCTGTGGGTGGTGGGTAGGTGATGGGTTTAAGACCTTACATGCTCCGCATCCACCCGCCCCACATCTTCCTGACCACTGATTACTTGTCATATAAATCTTGGACCATTATGAATTTTAGGTATAATTTCAGAGATTATTCTATAAATCTTAAGATTTTATAGGACATTACTTATAATTTAACCAAATGTTAGGGTACAAACTCAATTAATCCTTGGTTTATTTTATTATGCTTCTTAATGGATGTCTTTGTTTCATATTTTATTGCTTATGTAATCTGTGAGGTTGCTGCTAGGCGGGAATTGATGAGTATATTCGGGTATGGGATGGATAGTGGGTATCTAGTTGGGTAGTGGGTATGGGGGTGGATTTGATAATGTATCTGCATGGGCGAGTATGGATTTAAAATTTTACATGTCATGGGTGGTGGGTAGCTATTGATATAAAAATATGTGAATATAGGGATAGGGGAAGGGGCATCTGTACCCGCCCTACAATTTGTCATCTGTGAACCTATATTTTGATATAACAAATAAATGTAAAATTGAATTTGTTCAAATGATTCAAAAATAATTTAAAGTCCACAAAACTTGAAAAATATTTCCAAGTATTTTTGACTGATCTACACCTTAAAATATGTTTAAAAACTCAAAATAAGTCAAAATATTCAATTCTTGGTGTAAGGTTTCAAAACCCCCTTTAAGGTTTTGAAACCTTTAAGGCAGAATGCTCAAAATTTCAAAAATTTCAGCCTGATTTTGAAACGTCCTTGCCTGTTTCGAAACCCTTGATATCATCACGTTTTCATATACAAAGGGAGTACTTTTGAACATCTTTATATTGAATTACTTATTTTTAGCTTTAATATATGCTATTATAATATATTTATGATAAGAATATTAGTTAAAAAACTTAGTATGAATTATCCTAACATGTTTAACATATTAAAATAACAATGTATAATATGAATTCATACTAAGTTATTTAACTAATATTCTTATCATAAAATATATTATAATAGCATATATTATAAAGCTAATAATAAGTAAATTCAATTAAAGATGTTCAAAAGTACTCCCTTTGTATATGAAAACGTGATGATATCATCCCCCCTTCTTTAGGGCGATTTGTCCTCAAATCGAGTTCATTCTGTCCTTGCATAGCTTCACGCCTCTTTGCTAATAGAAAGTATTCTTTGAATGTTTGTGTTCTTCCATTAGGTACCTTTTCGTAAGATTTCCTTTTAGGTCTTTCTTTGGATATGATTTACCAACAGATACCTTTTGGGAATGATCTTTATCTAAGGATATCCCTTTTGGAAGTGACCTTTTACGTGATTGGTCCTGAAAAGTGAGAAAAGAAAAGGTTTCATATGAAAAGTACTTACCTTTTGAAGATTAACCCATGGTGAAGAGTTGCGACTTTAAGTCCCAAACATCACCATTGTTCGTAGAAGACCCTTCATTTTCCAGCATGAACCATCATGTTTCTCTATGAAGAAGTTTGGTTTCTTGTTTTGTTCCTCTTTATTCTTTGTTGGGGTTTTCTTTGCGCCATGCTTGTACACTCTTTCTCATATGCAACTGACTTGTTGCACTTCTTTGGGCGTTAAAGGCATCAAGGTCACCTTGCGTCCATCATGCTTAAAAGTATATTGATTATGAAAACAATCATGAATAGCCCTTTTATCATACTGCCATGGTCTCCCAAGTAAAATGTGGCTAGCATGCATAGGGACAATGTCACAAAGCACCTCGTCCTTGTACCTACCAACTGAAAAAGGAATTAGAACCTGTTTGGTACATTTAACTCACCTCCTTCATTGAGCCATTGGAGTTTATACGGAGTAGGATGCTTTGACGTTGCCAATCCAAGTTTTTCAATCATAAGAGTGCTGGCTACGTTTGTGCAACTTCCTCCATCGATGATCATTGTGCAAACCTTATCCTTGACATGGCACCTTGTATGAAAGATATGTTTCTTTGAATATCCTCTTGGGATGTTTGTGATTGTAGGCACCTCTTTGAAACAAGCATTTCACCATGATCTGCATTTTCTTCCGTTTCTTCGTCTTGTATTATTTCAGGTTCCTCGTCAAAAATAGGCTCATCAGAATCTGATACAATATCTCCATTATCAAGTACCATCATAGCATTTCGGTTGGGACATTGACTAGCAACATGTCCTTTTCCAAAACACTTGAAACATTTGATGTCTCTTGATCTCTCGAAAGTGCTGGTTTGCTTTTCTTTACCCTTGCTAGATTCGCCCATTTGTGCAGATTTGGGTATCTCTGCGCGTTCCTTTAGTTGGATTGGAGTTTGTTTCCGGAAGGTAATAGGTTCTTGCTTCCATTTGGTGGCCGAATTTGGACTGCTCCTAGTGTATGATTTCCTTTTATCTTCTGATGACTTTTTATTCAATTAAAGTGAGATTATTCTCTTCTTAAGTCCTGGTGACTTTTTATCGACTTATCAAGTATTTTATACTTGTGGCATCAACCCCTTCCTTTCATCTTGATACTTCTGGTTCCTAGTTCATATAACTAGTGGGTCAAAGTACTTAATACCACCCCTTGAAGAAGCAATATAAAGATTGGGTCTCTGCTCTCTATAGCATTGGTTCTTCTTTGAGATTTCTTCAAGATACTATCCTCACAACCATCCCTTTATTTCATCTCCATAACCATAGCCTTATCAACTATCTTCCGCTTCCATTACTCATTATTTAAATAGCCTACCTTTTCACCCCTACGTCTACCACCCTTAACCATTCTATTTTGAGCCATTCACTTTGCAGGTTGTTTTGCTTCCTTCCTAGATCCACAATCATTTGAAAAGGTACAAGTACCTTACATCAAGTGGTACAAACCAAAAGGCATGATTCATTAAACAATTCAGACAAACTGCGGGGCCAATATTGGGAAAATATTTTGTAACTTAGCGGGGCCAATATCTTCTCCAAAATTGATATTAAAAGTGGCTACCACCAGATAAGAATGAAGAAAGGTGATGAGTGGAAAACTGCGTTCAAAACCAAACAAGGTTTGTATGAATGGTTAGTCATGCCTTTTGGCTTGACTAATGCCCTAGTACCTTTATGCGTTAATGAATCATGTCCTCGGAGATATAGTCACGTCTACACCAGATCCGGAGGTCATGCCACACGGTCCCATTACTAGGTCAAGGGCCAAACAATTCAGGGAAGTGCTCTTAACTAAGTGTCTTGAAGTTTTTGATTCATTTGATGACTTAACACTCCTAATGTTATGTTATATAAGTTTTAATCTAAAGATAACTTAGTATGAATTCATATACATTGTTATTTTAATATGTTAAACATGTTAGGATAGTTTTATTATCATATTAAGCATGATATTATATATACATCAAGACAACATACTATAATGCAT